AGGTCACCGGTAGCACAGACGAGACGCTGCGGGCGGGCGGACCCGATCGGGGGTGACCGGCGCGCAGCCTAGAAGGTCCCTTTGGAGGACTTTGCAGTAGGGCGCAGGGAGCATGCGCAGACGCCAGAGGGCGCTCAGGGCCAGTGACTGAGAGAGCCTGGCAGGGGCGGGGCGGGGCCTGGGGCGGGGGCGGGGCTCTGGGCGGGGCTGAGGGGGACCAGAGGTAGGACCAAAGGTTTCCACTCCCGGGATCAGAAAATGTACCCGAGCGGCGGGCGGGGCGGGGGAGAAACACGAAAGATTGGGGGAGGAGCCTGAAGGGATGGAAGGGAGAAGGGCAGGACTAGGGACCCCAGAAAGGGGCTAGGGACAAGGGGGAGGGAACTAGGTGGGGGTGGGGACACACAGAGAGGGGCGGGGCTAGGACACCAGAAGGAAGGTCGGGGGGGACCTGCGGGCTCCGAAAGGCGTTCTGTTCCGCGAGTGCTTGACGACCCGGCATAACGATGGCTCCCGAGGGTCTGCTCCGCGCCCGCCGGGACGCGGTCCCAGTGCTAAGCCCATGGGCACGGAGGCAGTGAAACCTGTACACTTTCCACCCGAGATCCCTCAAATGCTTTCCTTCAGTCGGCAGCTCTAGGCCCCGCCCCCCGTCCGGCTCTACCAGCCCCGGAGGGGCTGGCAGGGCCCGCGGGGGGCGTGGGAGCGGAAGGCGCGCTCCCGGGGCGGGCAGAGGCGGGTGTCGAGACCTGAGAGTGGGAACTGGGTGAAGGGCCTGACGGCAGGGTCTGTCCAGAACTGCCCGGACAACAGCGCGCAGCGAGGGTGAGACCCCGGCGGAGTTCCTTCCCTTCCCCTAAACTCCCAGCAGCCAGACTGGGAACCCCAGGTGACTCGGGAACCACACCGCTTCCCACTTCGGAGGTGGGCCCCACATGCCCAAGAAAAAACTGGGGATCTGTCGGGAGGGCACTTGGCGGGACCAGACACTTCTCTTCCCCTTCTTCCTCTCACTGTCCCGGGAAACCTTCCATCCCTTACACCCTCCCCCTCCCCCACCACTTCCCAATCCCTAGACTCTGCCCTTCAGGGCAGGGGTGGGTTGGGAAGGTAGAACTCCTGAGACTGGTTACACCTGCGCGGGGGGCGGGGAGGGGGTTCAGTCTTGTCCCTTTTGTAAGGGGGGAGGGGAATTCTGGAAGGAATCCAGCACGTAAGTGGGGTCCAGTGCTAAGTGGACGTGGAGTTGTGCCTCCCTGGGGGGATGAGGGTGAAGGGTGAAGACTGATTTCTGAGTGTTGTTCCTGTGCGGGATGATTTCATGCAAACTAGAACTAATCTGGAAGAGGGGTGCAAGTTTCCTCTGGGACCCCAGATACCCCGCTCCGATGCCCACCCCCTCCCCCAAGCATCTCTTGCCTCCTGGAGCCCCAGGGGAAGTGGCTACTCCTGGCCCTGGGTGAGAACTGCCCATCCTGGCTGCCTTCCACAGGAAACCTGATCTGAGGGACAGAACAGGAAGGAAGCAGATGGGTGTGGAGCCAGGAAGCAGGGAAGGGTGGCACAGGGCGGGGCTCCGGGCTGGGAAACACTATAATTGTCACAGTCCAAACCCTGTTCCCAGCCCCAAAGCTGGGTCTTAAAGAGGCCAGGGATTTGGTGATGCCCTCCCAGAAAGGGGCTAGGGACAAGGGGGAGGGAACTAGGTGGGGGTGGGGACACACAGAGAGGGGCGGGGCTAGGACACCAGAAGGAAGGTCGGGGGGGACCTGCGGGCTCCGAAAGGCGTTCTGTTCCGCGAGTGCTTGACGACCCGGCATAACGATGGCTCCCGAGGGTCTGCTCCGCGCCCGCCGGGACGCGGTCCCAGTGCTAAGCCCATGGGCACGGAGGCAGTGAAACCTGTACACTTTCCACCCGAGATCCCTCAAATGCTTTCCTTCAGTCGGCAGCTCTAGGCCCCGCCCCCCGTCCGGCTCTACCAGCCCCGGAGGGGCTGGCAGGGCCCGCGGGGGGCGTGGGAGCGGAAGGCGCGCTCCCGGGGCGGGCAGAGGCGGGTGTCGAGACCTGAGAGTGGGAACTGGGTGAAGGGCCTGACGGCAGGGTCTGTCCAGAACTGCCCGGACAACAGCGCGCAGCGAGGGTGAGACCCCGGCGGAGTTCCTTCCCTTCCCCTAAACTCCCAGCAGCCAGACTGGGAACCCCAGGTGACTCGGGAACCACACCGCTTCCCACTTCGGAGGTGGGCCCCACATGCCCAAGAAAAAACTGGGGATCTGTCGGGAGGGCACTTGGCGGGACCAGACACTTCTCTTCCCCTTCTTCCTCTCACTGTCCCGGGAAACCTTCCATCCCTTACACCCTCCCCCTCCCCCACCACTTCCCAATCCCTAGACTCTGCCCTTCAGGGCAGGGGTGGGTTGGGAAGGTAGAACTCCTGAGACTGGTTACACCTGCGCGGGGGGCGGGGAGGGGGTTCAGTCTTGTCCCTTTTGTAAGGGGGGAGGGGAATTCTGGAAGGAATCCAGCACGTAAGTGGGGTCCAGTGCTAAGTGGACGTGGAGTTGTGCCTCCCTGGGGGGATGAGGGTGAAGGGTGAAGACTGATTTCTGAGTGTTGTTCCTGTGCGGGATGATTTCATGCAAACTAGAACTAATCTGGAAGAGGGGTGCAAGTTTCCTCTGGGACCCCAGATACCCCGCTCCGATGCCCACCCCCTCCCCCAAGCATCTCTTGCCTCCTGGAGCCCCAGGGGAAGTGGCTACTCCTGGCCCTGGGTGAGAACTGCCCATCCTGGCTGCCTTCCACAGGAAACCTGATCTGAGGGACAGAACAGGAAGGAAGCAGATGGGTGTGGAGCCAGGAAGCAGGGAAGGGTGGCACAGGGCGGGGCTCCGGGCTGGGAAACACTATAATTGTCACAGTCCAAACCCTGTTCCCAGCCCCAAAGCTGGGTCTTAAAGAGGCCAGGGATTTGGTGATGCCCTCCTGTGCCCAGCTGCTGTTAGCATCCAAGCCAGCTCTCAAAGGCAACCTCCTCCTCTAAAGCTTCCCTTAGCCTTCTAATGTGACCTCAGGCGAGTTTAACCTGTTTGTTTCAACCATAAAATGGGATAATAGAAACTACCTCACAGGATTGTTGTGAAGATGGACTATATTATGTAACATGCTGAAAAAGTCCCCGGCACAGGGTAAACATTCTAGCAAAGTGTACTCTGTTTTTTTTTTTCTTCCTAGGGTGCTGTGTATATCTGCCCAGAACCATGGCCCCATCCTGCCCGGTTTCATCTGTGCCTTTACCCAGTAGATTATGAGCTCCTTGAGGGCAGGGCCCATCCCTTTTCTACTTCAGTAGTCACCTCCTATCCCCAGGATACGGTGGCCGTACCAGGGCTTGCCCAGAGGAGGGCTGAAGAGATGCACTTAGAATTATCCAATGAAGTTGCCACTAGAGATAGAAGATAGAAGCACAGGATTTTGTCTGTCCTGGAGGAGCTGATAGACTAGATGAGGAGCTGAGAGAGACACAGGGAACAAGGAGAAACATTAGGTGCTAAATCTTGGGGCACCCACTGTACTTATTTCTGGAGCTCAGGGAAAGCAGAGCTGGTATAGGCTGGACAGGCTGAGAAGGGCCTCCCGGTAAAGTGGTCCTTTCACCCAGCCCAAGCCTACAGCGGGAAAAGCAGGGAGAGGTGAGGAAGCAGGCTCGCTGGGTGCTGCTGAGTGCACAGTGAGAAGTGGTGGGAGCTATGGCAGGGGAGGTGGGGAACAAGGGGCCAGTCTACCCAAAGGCTCACCAGAAAGGCACAATGCCCTCTCCTTCCACTAGGGGCCTCCTGTTTCCTCCATCCCAATCTTGGGAGACCCCCGAGTTTGAGCTTCAGAAACTCTGGAGCTGAAAGGTTTGGCCTCAAGATCTGGCTCTGCCATTTACTAGCTGTGTGACCTTGGGCAGACCATGTACGCTTTCCAAGCCTCAACTGGGCCATCTGTAAAATGGTGATAAGAATACCACCTGATTCACATAGCTGTTGGGAGGACTGAAGGAGATAACGCCCAGAAAGCATTTAGCCTGCCTAGCACACTGTCGTGGCCCAATAAATGGGAGGCGTCTTGTTTTCTGTGCAGACCTTGCCACCAATGTCACTGCTGAACTCTGGCTCGCCCCACCGAGGGGAGAGGCTGACCCCTCCGGAGCCAAATCCACCAGTCATCTCAGACAGCAACCCAGGTCACGTGCCAGAGGAGGACCCTGAGGAAACCTCTGCTCAGGTGGTAGGGGTCCTGCCCTTCCCTCTGAGACCAACATCCCCTCCATCCTTTGGACCTCTTCCCATTTCCACCAAGTGGGAGGTAGTTAGCCTTTGTGCCCAACTTCTTGCAGCCCTTTCTCTTTGCAGGAATCCCTGTCCCTACAGCCCTCTCAGGACACAGGGGTTCAACTTCTTTAAGCTTATCCACATGAATACACGAATACTCTCCTAGGGGGTCTGTGTTGTCAAAGCAGAACCTAGGGACTTTGCCCCTAAGGAGTGAAAGGGGTGATTTCAAGCATAAGAAGGAAGCTGTTTTGCAGTGTGCCCCCCCGCCCCGCCCCGACCTGCCTCAATCAGACCATAAACATGGGAGTGGATCAGCTGTCCTTGTGATCTTGAAGGAGGATCCTCCAAATGGAGGGGGGTGCTTGGATGTTGTTCCAGATTGGCGAAGAGGTGGCAATGAAGAGGGAAGGAAACAAGGGGAAGGAAGGAGAAGCCGAGCTCTGCTTCTCTCCTTTTGCTGCGTTTCCTCAGGATCCTGAAGTCCTGAGCTTGGGGAACCCTGGCCTGGACACCAACCAAGCCCCCAGCTGGCCTGGACTCCGGACCCTCCTGCAGCAGCTCCCTCCGCAGGACAGCGATGTGGGTCTTCCTCTTCCCAGCTTTCCTCTCTCTTGCTTCCCTTTCTTTACTTACCGTGGGAAGAAGTTTGGTCCAAAAGGCAGGGGACATGCATTTAAGGCCTTAGCTTTGCCACTAATTGGGGGAAGTCATCCCCCACCCCCAGCCTGAGCTTTCACAACTACATAATGGGTGCAGTAACATCTGCTCTGCCCACCACAATGCTTAGTTGAAGAGCAAATGAGAAAATGGACATGACCAGCTTTTGAAACTGATAATGGAATGTACAAATGTAGAGAGTATGGTGGTTAAGTATTTATTGAGGGCCTCTGTGTGCCCAGTCTAAAGGCTTACAGTTCAGCTGGGGAGGCGAGGCAGGAGAATATGGAATAAATAGGGAAAATACAGTGGGAAGTGATATTAAGCTACAGCTCATTGGGAGCCAGGATCTAAATATATGGAGATGGGCTAAGTACTGTAGGGCTGTCAGGACCTGAGTGATCACCATTCCTGGGGTGGAGGGAGTGAGACAGAGGTGGACTTATGCCAGTTCTTTCCCTCCTTCCCTCTCCTCAGTACCCTTCTGTGCTGTTATCTCCTGCACCTCCCTGAGGTTTCACAACCTTCCTTTGACCCAGCAGCTAAACCTCCCCTCTCCAGTCAAACTTCAACCTTGCCTGCTGGGGCTCTCCCAGTCACAGTGGACCTCTGTTTCCGCAGGAGCGCTATTGCCTGGCCCCTGGGGAAGAGGAGCTGGCTGAGCTGCGGCTCTTCTGTGCCCAGCGGAGGCGGGAGGCCCTGGGACAGGGGGTGGCCCGCCTAGTACCTCCCAAGCTTGAAGAATGCACCTGTGAAAAGGTATGTAGCACCCTCCCCCCAATATTCCCCTTCCTCCTCTTTGCCCTCTCACTTCTTCAGAAGCGGCTGGGTTCTGGGACTCTGGAGGGGGAAAAGGGGGTTGGGGATTGACAGTTTGGCAAAGCTTAGGAAAAAGGGAAACCAAATTTAGGGGTTCTTCGTGGAGCCTGCAGTGGAGGTGGGCATGCCAGAATATGGGGAGAACAGTTAGGTTGAGGCTGGGATGGAAGAGCCAGGAGAGAAGGTAGGAGGGTGGTGTGGCCTCTGACCTGCGCAGCACCCGCATCCTGCAGTGCAGGGAGCAGCTGAGGCCAGGCGAGTACGGAGTGTTCACAGCTCGGGCAGGAGAGCAGCACTGCTGGCACCGGGCTTGCTTTGCCTGCCGGGCCTGTGGCCAGGCCCTGATAAACCTCATCTACTTCTACCACGATGGGCGTCTCTACTGCGGCCGTCATCACGCAGAGCTGCTGCGGCCGCGCTGCCCGGCTTGTGACCAGGTACAGCCTCGAGGGGAGGGGCTGGAGGGGGTCTGCCCAGGGTCCAACGCAGCAGATGCAACGGGACACCTCTTCCAGTACCACGGAGTGGGGAACAGAGAACTAGGAACCAGCCTGGGAACTTTGTATTCCCTTTGCTCTGACTTGAGCTCTGGGCACCTGGGACTCGTTGCCTTTGTGCCCTGCTCCCTCACCGCAAGCAGTCTCCCAAATTTTCTTGGACTGAGAGGATTTCTCCAGAGCGGGAACTCTTAGACAGACGTTCATCTCAGTACGTCGGGTGCCCAGTGCTGGGCCTGCTCCTGCGAGGAACTCCCGCAGTGTCCGCGCAAGAGGCTGCACGGAACCCTGGGTTGGGCGTCCAGGAGACCCAGGTCGCACTTCTTCAGGCTGTGCCACCCACTAGCTGGGGGATCCTGGCTAAGCCAGTCAGCCCTCCCCGCATCCGAGAGTGGTTGAGTAGATCAAATGGGAATGCCTGTAGACGTGCTTTAGCGTCAGCTGGGTATAAGGCGTGGTTACTGGATGAATGAATGAGTGAATGAATGAATGAGCCATTCCCCTCTCCCTCTCCCAGCTGATCTTCTCCCGCCGCTGCACCGAGGCCGAGGGACGGCGCTGGCACGAGAACCACTTCTGCTGCCAGGACTGCGCCGGGCCCTTGGGCGGGGGACGTTATGCCCTGCTGGGCGGCGGCCCCTGCTGCCCCAGCTGCTTTGAGAGACGCTATTCGGATGCCGGCTCGAGTCCGGCCCCGACAGTGGAAGGCAGGGCGTCCCCGGGTAAGGGAGGAGAAGGTGCAGATCAAAGGGGAAGGGGGCAGCGGCTTGGGCTGGGCTGAGGGGGGGTTCTCCCGGGCTGGGACCCTCGTCCCGGTCCCACGCCGTCCCGCCCCTCCAGCAGAGCCCCCGTACCCCCCACCGCACCCCCAGACCCGAGCCTCGGGGCCCGCAGCTCTCACCGCGCGTCCCTGGCCGGAGCGCTCCGAGGGCCTCCAGAACCCACCCCGCGCCGCGGTTGAGGCTGCGGCGCGGGACTCGCTCCTGGGCTGGGGCCGCGGCCGCCCTCTGCTGGGCGGAGGCGGGGAGGGGCGAGGAGCCGGGAGAGGACTCACCGCGGCGGCGCGCAAGGCCCGGGGGCGGGGCGGGAGGCTGGGCCCCGACTGGGACTGGCTTCTGGCGGCCGCCCCGCCCGGATCTGGGAGAGGGAGACTCGCGGATCTGAGATGGGCGTTTCTGACCCGGCCCGGAACAGGGGAGGCGGAGCTCGGCGGATTTGAAGATGGGCGCCGCGCCCCGCGGAATGCCGCGATCATCTCCCGGGCAGCCCCTCTCGCTACTGCCGCCAGCTCCAGTATGGAAACCCAGAGGGGGATGCTTGGATCCAGCCCGGAGCAGGAGTGTAGAACTGGGGACCAGGCGGAGACACCCAAAGGGCAAGAGCAGGGCTGCCTAGAGACTCCCCTTGATCTCAAGGAGGACGCTTCCTGCCCCACCTGCTCCTCTTCCTCTGAATCGGAACCCGAAGGCTTTTTCTTAGGCCAGCGCCTTCCCCGGCCCTGGGAGGCCCCCGGCAATCTCCAAGCCGGGGACAGCGACACCTCCAGGAAGCATTGCACTATTTGCTAGTGGCGCGCCCCGGAGAAAGGGTGGCTGGGGAGGTAATCTGTACGGTGAGAGAGCAAAACTCTCCTCCCCCTATAAAAATCCTAGACTGAACGCCATCAGGGCCCATGGCTGGGAGAGGCGGCGAAATGACAAATTTGGAGTGCTTCCTTTTAGCCCGCGCATTCTATGACTTTTCATGGAGACTCTTCGGGAGCCCCATTCCTTAAAGCTACGCATCCCCTGCTGAGTGAGACCCTACCCCACCCCCACAGGCTAGGCAGCCCCATCCTCAGCATCCTCCTCCTGAGCCAACGAAGTGATCACTGAGACCACCTGTGACTGGCGGTGGGCCAGCCGAAGGCCAGGAGGGAGCCGGAGGTGGAACCCGACCAGGGGAGGTTGGAGCTGGACGGCGCTGCTCGCCCGGCAGATATCGCGGACTCGCAGCCCGGGCGTTCTCACTCCCGGCGTCCTACCACGCTCAAGCCACTGCGCCCTCTGTCGGCGAGTAGCCAGCGGAAATGCGAGGCCGGAAGTTGCGTGATCTGCTGGCGCCCACAAGCGGCGTGGTGAGAGACCTTGCGGAGCGTTGGGTGCTGCTATGGCTTCCAGTGGGGCCGGCGTGATCGCTGCGGGCTCGGCAAATGAAGCTCCCGAAATCCCAGACAACGTGGGAGACTGGCTTCGGGGCGTCTACCGCTTCGCCACCGATAGGAATGACTTCCGCAGGTAACCGAGGCACGGGAGCTTGGTCGCTCTCTTGCCCTTCGCGCACGTATACATACCTGCCAGGTTTCCTTCTTCGCCGAGGCTGGGCCCTCCGGATTATTTACACCGCCAATATCTCGGCCTTTTCGTGGTTCTGGCTGTGCTTTGCTGAGGTTCTTGACCGGGAGAGTTCCCGTGCGGCCAGAGCGCTCCTTTCAGTCACCGGGCTCTGTCTAGAGAATCTCACCCTGCCCGCGGAGACCCGGGGAGAGGAGGCGCCAACACGTAAACAGGCTTTTTGGCCCTGGACGAGTACTTAATTGGGTTTTGCATTTGACCTTACTCTTACTAGACGTAGAAACGAACCTTAAATAACCATGTGGGTCTTGGGCAACCTGTTATGTAACGATCGATGCTCTTGCGATTCTAAAGTGTTTTTGCCTTGGGAGGGGGCGGTTTCCAGGGTGGTGATGGGAAGCTTCCCCCCACCCCCCCAGCCCATCTTTCACTGGCCAAAGACACGTGCCTCAGTGACCACAGGGTTAAAGGGATGCATTTTTTCCAGGAACTTGATCCTCAATTTGGGACTCTTTGCTGCCGGAGTTTGGCTGGCCAGGAATTTGAGTGACATTGACCTAATGGCACCTCAGCCTGGGGTGTAGCCGTAAAGGTAAGCATTAACCACTGTTCTGCCTGTTTTAGGAATCCTAGAGACTGGGATAAGAAATAATTTATGTCAGCTCTTCACAAAATAATAGATAAGAGACTTGATGTAAAATCCTTGGCTATTCCTAGTTAGATGTGTCTCCAGATGTTCCAAGGGATGAGTCTCTTACCAATTTCCCTCTAGTGATTTTACATTTCTAATGCCACCTGTTGTCTGATTGCAGACACATGGAACCCCTGTGCTGTACTCGAACCTTCCAAAAACAGAGCCTCCGATCTGTGACCGTCACAAGACTTGCCCTGATGGCGGCTGAAGTTTGATTCAGATGGGCACCTTTCCTTCCCTGCTTGATTTCCTTTTCTTTGCTGAGTCCACTCAGAACACCCTTCTCTGGTCAGCAGGTAGGGTTCAGCTAAAGTGTTGTCCTGTGTTCTGTAAAGTTCTGTACATAGTTCCAAAGTTTCTGCAGGGGATGATCTTTGCTCTTGTCCTGAGGAATATTCTAATGGTATTTTAACAAATAAAGACTGTACACAAAGACAGCCATTTTATTCTTTTAATAAGAAACTTCGGCTTACAAAAACAAGGTGTAAAAAGTCAAGATTTACAAAAATCATAAAAACATGATTTATATTTCACACTCGAGAGAGACAGGAACAAGCCCCAAACATGGATTGTAACAGAGATGGTTTGCTTCATATTAAAAAAGAAAAGGAAACTGTAGCCACCGTTCATTGATGTTAGCATAGGATGAAGCATATTGTTGAGGAATTTCCATTTTTGAGCAGTACTAAGGGAAGAAGTCATTTGGTGTTGCATAGCATTTTAGTGCACTGGGTGGGTTTTCCAGGCACCAGGGAGGCATTGTTGCTGTAGTACAGTGGGATTTGAGGGCAGTGAGGTGCAGGTAGAGGCAAGGGGTAAGTAAGCCTGGGCAGTGGGCACTGACGTGACACTGCTTGAGGAAGCTGCTTCCTTCACAAGGAAATAGATTATTTTCTGACCCTAAAATTCATGGTAGTGCCACTGTCCAGGAGTGTGGGGTTCTTTGGAAATGGAATATGTAAGGAACTGGCATGGAAAGAATCACATAGGCTTAGAAAGGTGTGGACATAGTAACAGGCTCCCCTTGGCAATTTTTCTAGTTGATTTACTCTACTAGGCATTTAAAAAAAAATACATACTACTTTTCCGTGCCAAGTCTCTTACGGAACTGGTATGGGATTAAAGGACATGAATTGGAAAGGAGGGTTAGTATAAATGCACCACAGTGGCCTAATTGTTAGTTGACAGGTGTTGTCTCTAGCAATCTGTTCACTAAAGGTAAATAGAATAAAATGGTCCTTCTTGATCCTGCTGGCATAAATGTGGTTAAGAAAGCTGTTAGGCAATTAGATTTTTTATATGTTAAAGAAAAGCACCATTCTCTTATGAGCATTAATCAGGGAGGAGGTCCCATCTCTCAGGAGGAAGGAGTTTGAGCTTGTATGAATTCAGGCCTGTGGCTGGCTTAACATGAAGGCAGGATCCTTTAAGAGTCTACACGGGGACCACAGATGCTCTGACAAGTTCATATCTGATGAGGAAAGGTAACATACGTGAAGCAAGGCTTAGGTTTAAAGCCATCACCCCCGCAAATGGTGACCAGGAAGGAAACTTTTAAATCCCTTCAGCCTGCATCAGACCATTGCGCTAAGACTAGAAATACCAGCACCTCCTGTTCTTTATAGGAGTGAAACTTACATCCTTGAAGTCTGCTACCTGATCTATTCATAATTGTGAACAGTTCTTTTTGATAAAAATTTTCAAAGCTAAAAATCAAAATCTGGCCAAAATTAAAGACATGGCAGCTTCCAAAAGCGTAATTCAAGTTTCACTTAAAATTTAATGTTTTAGCTTCAAGTAACAGTGCCACTGTTGGTTTATAAAGCCATAAAGCTGGTAAGGTAAAGTTTCATTTAAATTGCCTTAATTCCCGAAAGTGGTAAGAATTTTGCAGATTAAAGCTACCAAATCTACAATTTCCTCAAATTCTGATGAATAATTATTCCATAAATGAAAGTGCTGGTTTTCATCATTTCAGCACATTTCTCCTCAAGGGAAGTCAGTTTCACATCCTGTCATACGGTGTTTAGCCCAGGCTAGTTAACACCGTATGACAGGATATAAACACATAACATAGTATATGACAGTACTATGAAAGTCTCTTACACAACCTAGTTAGATTTGAAATAGAAACATGCCAGCAGAATTCAGTATGGAGAAAGTCCACAAAAATGACCATTCACTTCAGTGCTCTAGTGGCTGTTGTGTACTTAGAGCAGTGTTTGGGTTGAGTACACAGTGGTTAAAGTCGAAGCCCTAGACCAAGAAAATGGTGAATTTAAACGTGGAAGATATAAACTAAACTCACAGTCATATTCAGAAGGTGCTTTTCAGCTTTAGTGCTAACTTCAAAAAAGAATTTGAACCACCAAGGAGATTCATACTTACCTGGTAAAGAAACTAAGTGGCCATGGGAGGTTTTATTCCAAAGATACAACCCCCTCACCTAATTAGGCTGAGGGATCCAATTATTATATGTGCTTCGAGTGGTAATAAGCTATTTAAACACCCTTTGGTGAAGTCTTGGAAACCTTAAGGTGGGAGTAAAAGGAACATGCTGTGTTTATAGCCCTGCAGGTGAGCAGGCTGGGTCTTTTCCCCTTCCACAGCCACTCAGCACCACCCGTCAGCAGCTGCCAGGGAGTGGGGCTGGGGAGCTGGGACAGGTTCTTTGAGCCTTCGTTTTTGCATATTACACAGTGCACTGGCTTGCCTTACAGTCTGAAGGTTCACATATAGGGGATTGTGTTCTACAGTGCTTCCTGAAATTTTGTGCAAAAGAACTTCAGAACTAATGAAGGTACCACTTCAGGAGGAACTGTTTCTGTGTGACTTCTACCGTACATTGCCCAGCATCAGAAAAACTAAAAGACCTTCTTCTGATTATTTGTGCTCTCCCAACCAGCTGGAAAAGCAGCCCTTCCACTTCTAAGATATAATCCCAGATAGGAATACAGTATATGTTTAGGAAGGGGTAGCCCTCCCAGCCTGATTTTAAAAAGGCCTGAGCTAATGATTGGAACATAAAAGGGGTGGTAAAAAAGAATGGGGTACCTAGTCTGCCTTGAAAAGGAGACATTGATGAATAATCAAACACAAAGATTTTGGATATTACAATTAAAATTTCAGAACTTGCTAGTAAGAATAATTTGCTTTCACACACACAAGATATGAAATGCTTTTAAAAAGTCTGACACCAAATGTCCTTTACACTATACAGACCCATTTGCCACTTGAAATGACAAGAAGGAATCCTCTCCCTTAATCTTTTCAATCCCATGCAAACCATAATTGGGTACAAGGCACCAAATTTTAAGAATTGTATAAAATTAGTTCACAAAGCTTTATCAGTAAGTAAAACAAACTCCATTTCTCCCTCCCTGCCCACCCACATCCCAACCCCCAACACCCAACCAAGTTTTCATTCTGTACTACTGTTGACCTCTCTTGTGTTTATGCTGGGACCTGGCTAGGGCCATGCTCCACTGCCAGTCAACCCACCTCATTAGTTCTTGCAGTCTGATGGAACTGTAAGCATAGC